CCTGCTGACTGGTATTTCCTTGTCTGGTAATATTAACAGAATGGAGAAGTAGACAAAGGACCTATTTTCTGAAGTCTAATTTGGTGGGATATACTCTCTTAAAAATGCCTCACTTGCTTCTCAAAGAGTGGCAATATTGGTCAATATAATCACCAGAAATAACAGTATTTGGTGGATATCACAATTTTTTAGTCTGGCCGAAGGAAAGATTGTGGTAGTCTCCTTTTCATGCCATTACATATTATAAAATATTTCTGTTTTCATAGTGATATGTCAGCCAATTTATACTGAAAACAAGGACTCGCTTTTAGCAACTTCTCAGCATCTGCTTACACCATAGTTGCATCAGGTCCAGATTCTTATTCTGATTTTCTTGGTGTATATGAAAGCTAAGTGGAATGTTGCATATCTTTGTTTCTTATAAAATTAATAAGAATATTTGTTATTTTGTTCCTGCAGTTTCCTAATGAGTTAAAGGATTCCAGAATCTGTAACATCAGAAAGGTGGCAACTGATATTGGATGGAATGGAATGGAAGAGCTAAATATGTATGGTTCGTGCTACCTCTCTTTACACTGAATGAGATAGTTAAACACTGAACCAAAGACAATATGTAGTGCCTTAAATATAACAAGCAATTTGCTCTGAAGGACAGAGTATTAAGATGCAATCTCTTTTTCATAAGCTTTACATCTTAAACAACTCTATTTCTAGTGAAATTCAAAACTTAATGCTTAGGACTACATTTCCATAGACTAACTAGAAACAGTACTTTAAGTTCAATTGGATAATCTGTTTTCCATATGTTTCTTTTTCCCTCAAATATTTATCACTTTATTTCCTGTTTGTGTATAGGAGGTGACAATAGCTTCTCTGTCATGCCTTCTCACAGTTGAGAAAACATCTTCGTGTACCTGGAAACCTTTTCCTTCAGTCTGTGTGCAACCCTTGGAGCATACTCCGTACTCCAGTGTGGAATGTGCATATCCTAGAGCTGTATCTCATTTTTGAGAAGAGTACTTAACTGCTGTATGATGCAAGAGGTTGTTTCACGGAGGAAGGGAGAGTTTTCAACCGGTAGAACTGAGTTATTAATTCAATTATTCATTAAAAACTTTCTTTGCCACATGCTGAAACTGCAACATTTCAGTTTTAAACATTGGCTCAGAGCAGAAAAAAATATTCTTATCCTGACCAGCACTCACACTCTCAAAAATATGAACCAAAACTACAAAGGTAACTAGCTGTCTGTAGCATGAATTAAAAGTTGCTAACTGACTTTCAAGTTACTGCTCAGAGCCCTGGCAAATCAACAGATGTCAGATTTTTGGTCACTAAGTAAGTTCTTGCATTCTCCGTTTATTTTCTCCGAGTTTTTATCCTTGGAGAGGATAAGGAAGTGGTCAGAGGTATCTAATCTCAGGATAAATGTTGTCACCCCGGGAAAGATTTGTTAGACTGCCAATTGAATGCCTGTGCTTTTTGCTCTGTCCTTTTGTTCTCTCATCTTATAAAGATACTTTGCCTTAAGGATTCTTGAGTGGGAGACATTGTGCCTCAGTCCAAACTGTTGTGTAGTTCAGTACCTGTACTACAGGAAATCTTTGCAGCCTGATTCAGTAATACTTCCTTCCGTAGGCTGTGGTGGCCTTTGAGGCTACCAGTCAGAGGGAAATATGATGAGACATGTCTCCTGCTTCTGCCTCTCCCATGGGGTTACAGAATGTGGATACTTTAGACTGAATCTTGGAAAGGACTATATCATTCAAAGTAGAATGTTATTCTTATGCAATTTTGCTAAATTAACACACGTCTCAAGTGCCTTAACTTCATTAATTTAGTTGTTTGATGTTTCAGCTTGTTGAGATGCATTTTTCTATGCCATGCAGAATGACAAACCTTAGTGGAATGGATAAATTGTGTGCCTGACTGGATTTTGGACAAGTTTCAATAAAATTTTTTAGTCTAATCCATGCTCCTGTGTCTTTTGAACTTTAACATAGAACAAACCAACCTCTTTTCTTCTGCTATTGCTTCAATGTGTTAAAAAAAAAGTCTGTATATAGTAAAGGACCTGAGTATGGCTGAGTAGACTGGATTAGAAGCATATATGTGTTTATGCAGGAAATTACAGCCCAAAATGTCAATACTAGGAGATCTCTCATGTAGCCAACTAATAACGTAAAGATGGCATGGTTTTTACTTGTCTTGGGCATCTGTCCTGAGGTGAAAATCCTGGCTTCCTGGAGTCCTAGACGGATCAACTAATAGTGTTTCTGGAGCCAGAATCTAGTTAGCACTATAGATTTGCCTGGAACAACTCTGGACTGCTGTACCTGTTGCTTATTTTCCTGCCCTGTTGCTACAGTGCTTCCAGTGAACTTTTAGTTTGTACTTCAGTCGTTAGCGATACAGGTGAAAGTGGCTTATAGTCTCGTTCTAAAGAAGTAATGTTTTTTCTTAAACTTTCAGAGACTTGTTTCTAATTTTTCTGACATGGTGCTTATTTTATTCTGCCCTTCTAAAAAGCATCTTAATATATATTGGCTAATGTTAAAACAGTTGCGCATCATGCTGGTGGGTGGTGGAGACATGCTGGCCTTCCACTTAAGGAGGTATAGATGTTGAGAGTTTGGGATTTTCCTCTTTTGCCATGCTGACATATGAAATGAAAATACTGCTTACTTTTCCCAAGTTTTTCTGCTCTCTAGGCTGAAACTGAAGTACATGGAGGAGGGAAGAAGTGTGATAGTGGAGGAAAAGAAGATTGAATGAGCGCCTACAAGGACCTGTAGCAGATTTAGAGAGGATGCAGTTCTAGAAAGATATAACTTGTGCAACAGTTGAGAGGTAATGGCCAGCTATAATTGGTACCCAAAGTGATTCTTTGGAACCATTGGCACATGCGTCTCATAACTAGTCAGTATAATACAGTTCTGGACCAGTAGAACAAAGGTGGAAGAGGCAATGCATCTGAGAACTGGTATGCTAAAGCTGGGAGTTTGAGGCCATCTCCTTTAGAAAGTGAGTCATTAAACAGCTCAGAAGTACTCTAAAAGTTCACCTTTAGAGAACACTTATTATAATAAAAGGAGGAAATGGTGTATTCTGTAGCTGAAAATGGACTGTGGTTTTGTTAATGTGCCTGGCCTCAAAGATTGCTGCTTTTTCTGCTTTTGAGAATGGGCTGTGGTGTATTTAAAAAACATTTTGGAATAATAGCTAGAAATAATTTAGGGAGTTCTCTGAGCTAAGCCCAAGGCAAGATAGTAAGTCTAATTGGATTAATCTAGGTAATGGTTTGTGTTATTTACAATTTACTGGAAGTTCCTGTCTTCAGACCATCCGAGTATTCAGCACAAAATGTGCTGCTTAATGGTGATGCCTAGTAGTCATTCCTGCAGTTAAGCCTTTAACAGGGATGCTTCTAAGCACATGCTCTTCAGGGACGGACCTGCTTACTCCAACAAGATGGAAAATGTGCTCAGCTCTGCATCTGATGTGTATGGCTTGATGCTGGTGCGAATAACCTTACTAATCCCATGGCTGGTGATGTCTGCATGGCTGCGTACATATGCAATCACATGATTAAGATAAAAATTCAGACATGAGGGTAAGAATGACTTAAACCTTTTGGCAGACAGTGAGGTAGCCATCAGTATCTGGGGAATATGATGACAAGATGGTTGCCTAGAGGCTTTAGGAGAAAAATGTACATGCATTTATGGTCATAACTATTGGACATCTAACTAAATGTACAGCAAGGCTTTTTCTGAGCCTTGTTAAAAGAGTGTAAAAGTAAGCATAACAGTGTTTTTTATTCCTCATCTATATTCCTGACAAATCAAAGTAGAAGTTTTAGAAGTACTGAAGAAAGTCAATTGCTTAACTTTCTAAACATTTGAAACAGCAAAAAAAATCAGATGCCTGAATCCCTTAGGCGTGTTTGGATATGCTGCCGATGACATCAGATTATGCTCGATCATGGCATCTTGTAGCCAAACTGTCGGGAGGAAAGAATGGTCTGTAGTGTTCCTTTGTGGTTTATTAGCAATGGTTTCTGATAGTGTGTTCTAAAAGTTATAACAGAAAATCACTTATGCTGAAAGTGCATTTTTTGAAGAAGTTTGAAATTTCAAAGTGCTTTCATCTGCTATAAGAAACGAATTCTCACACAGGATTTGGAAAAGTACTGGCACTTTGTTTCTGTATTGAACCTTGATGTTTACTGCTTTCTCATGCTGAAAAGTTTTAATTATCAAATACAAACCACTACTCACCTGCTTCCACACCATTACTTTGAACTTTATTAAGGGGAATAGAATAATAGCAAAACAAAGAACAAACCCAGGCTCTTCAGTAAGCAGTCATCTGTTTTCAGTTTTCATCATGCTTTTTGTCTGACTAATAGAGAATGAGTTTCATTGCACTCAATCTATTCCATTTAAAAGCTCAGATCTTGACCATTCCTATAAAATGAATGTAAGCATAGTGTTTTATTGTTCTGCATTAATTGTGCTACTTTTGTCACAGATAATAATCTGAAAAAGATGTATATGTAGTTTGTATTTCTAGGTCAGGAGCACATAAAGTTATTAAAATATTCTCTTGTCAATTGATAACTATACATGTCTTTCAGCCATTTTTCCTAAAAGTAGGCTAATATCTACTTAAGAAAACTAATTACTATCATTATGCAAAAAAAAAAAATATCAGTGTGAGGAGACTCTACAGCGACCCTTGGTTTGTCCTGCAAACGAAGCTCTGAATCCTCATTCTTCCAGGTATATGGAGCAGCCAGCAGTGTCTAATGGTAGAGCGCTGGGGGAAGGGGTCCTGGGGAGGCTAACTTGCAGGTACCTTAGATGTGCAAAATGTTTCTCTGCAGGTGCACACAGTATCTGTCCGATCTGGCAGATTTCGGTGTGCTGCTACAATCTGTTTTTTGACAACCTCGTGATAGTGTCAGGTTTTGTCTTCTGGAGTAAGTGTTGGGAGATGGAAATATTTCCATTCTTACTTTATCTTGATCTTTTCTTACAATAGGATTTCTTTTTCATGTGCAACTTTAGCTATAAGTTATGAATTGCAGGCAATTAAATTTGTTGTTTGTTTTTTTTTTTTAAAACTGCTTTGAAATACCTTCTTCCGTCTCCTAAGGAAATAGTAAAAGAAAAAATATTATAGAATAATAGTAATGAATATATCTGTCGTTATTCTAAATCAGTAGGATATTAGTCTATAAAAAAGACTAAATCCCGTGAAGAGGAAAATAAATGGTTTATGTTCTTATTTTAACGACACAATTGGAATACTGATGTGGAGCTAAGAATAGGTAATGCTTCCGGTTTAATTCATCTATCTAGTGGCAAAAAAATAGAATGGCTTTTTGCAGTTTTTAATGGAATTTGTCACAGTATGTTAATATGGATTTATTTTCTTCCTTCTAAAATTTAGCTAGAAGGCAGGTGATGCTTTGGTCTTTCAAAACTGCAGCACTGACCGTAAGGTTGACTTTGTTAACAAAGCTGTTGTTAAATCTGCTGTTTGGTATTACTAAAATTCAGCAAATGTAGGATGCAGTTCTTAGGGGAAAATGTTAAATTCTAAAGCAAATTCTGTTTAGACCGGTTTGTAGAATTTCCCTGGGATGTGTAAGCTTGTATGTGCTGAAGTGCAAAAATGCTATTTATTCTATTATCATTGCCTTTTAGAATGGAATAGATATTATGGAGTAGTTACACTTCAGACGACAAGGCTTTCACTTACGATTTTTTTCCTCGTATTTTGCATGTTGCTTTATGAAACCAGGTGAGTTGGTACTTCTTTTAGTTTCTACAGAAAAATATATTAATCTTCAAAACTGATTATAATACGTGAATAATACTTGTCACCTCTTTCAGATTCTGTGTGGTACTGGACTTGGTTTTGGTGATCTGTTTTGTTTTGGTCATATATATTCTAATCCTCTTCGGATGGATTTTAACATCTGACGGGAATGTGGAAGCTGCTAGTACAAGCAGGAAAAATTATCTTGGCATACTTATGTGAAGCTGCCAAGGATGTGTTTCCTTATCTAAA